CAGGAATAGACAGATCTATAGGAATAGAAAGTAGACCAGAGAAATTACTAAATACTGGGAGAAAGAGAAGCGGGAAGTGTAGCAGACTTTTTTTGGACTGCCAGCCCCCAAATCATGACACAGAGACTTATTATTAGTTGGGAAAGCTTGGCCTATAGCTTAGGCTTGTTTCTAACTAGCTCTTATAACTTAAATCAACCCATTTCTATCCATTTATGTGCTGCCATGTGGCTCATGGCTTTTACCTCTCCTCTTGCATGTCTTGCTCCCTCTCTGTCCAGCTAGTGACTTCACCTTTCCTCTTCCCCAAGACCTCTCTGTCCCCAGAAGTCCCACCTAACCTCTTCCTGCCTAGCTGTTGGCTATTCATCTCTTTATTAAAGCGCCCACAGTGATACATTCTGAAACAGGGAAGATGTTGTTGAGTGGTGCAGGATTTCTGTTTGGTTGTCCTCTAACTTCACCTCTTTCCACCCATAGCTCTCTGTCCTCAGCAGCGTGGTCAGTGGCTAACACAAAGGCTCCTAACTGGTCTTAGTGCAGAGAACGAGTGTCGGCGGAGTTCTCATCCACAAACAGGACATCTATGTCAATCTGTATCAAGCACCATCTTCCAACGGTCCCACTATGAAAGGGGAGAGACTGTCAGGGCGAGGTCAGCAGTGACTGGCAGTGTCTTCAGGACAAGACAGGACCACTGCACTCATGAACTCACAGCAGCCATGGTTGCCTTCAGATCTGCAGGAGATCAAGCCAATCACCACACTTGCACAGCGAGGGAGGGGCTTGTTACATTATTAAGAAACAAAGAGGGACATGAAGTTGTGTGACATCGAGGAGGTGGGGGTGGGTCTTAGAGGAGTTAGAGGGAGGAGTGGCAGGCAGTATGATCAAAATGTATTCTATGAAACTCTCAAAAAATAGTGAAAGTATTTTCAAAAAGAATTTCTTTTTAAAATTATTTCAAATGTTATTTTGACTAATAATACTTTGATGGTCTTCAGAATGCTTCTTTTAAAAACATTTTTATTAATTCTTTGAGTATTTCACATAATTATTTACTCCCCCATAACTCCTCCCAGATCTACCCCGACTTCCCTTTGCATTTGTGGTGGTTTGAATGAGAATGGCCCCCATACCTTTGAGTGTTTGGTACTCAGTGAGTGTAACAGTTCATGAAAGATTAGGAGGTATGGTCTTGTTTGGAGAAAGCGTGTCATTGCAGGTCGGATGGGTGGGGGTGTGACTTCACAGGCCCTGCCAGTCTCAGCCTTGTCTCTGCCTTGTGCCTGTGGATCAGGTGTTAGCTCTCAGCTACTGCTCCAACACCATGCCTGCTGCCATGCTCCCGGCCATGATGGTCACGAACTCTCCCTCTGGAATTCTAAGCCCCCACTTAAATGCCCTGTTTTCTAAGTTGTCTTGGCTATGGTGTTTTGTCCCAGCAGTAGAACAGTAACTAAGATACCACTCAACTTTGTGTCTGTCCCCCACCTCCCTGTCCCCTTTTTTTTTCCCTCTAAATTACCAAGTCCAGTTTGAGTTGCTCATATATCCTTGGGGTTATAATCTTCCCCCAGAGAGTGGCCAACCTGTCAGGATTCACACCTTTGAAGAAAACTGATTCTAGCTGGGTGGTGGTAGTACACATCTTTAATCCCAGCACTTGGGAGGCAGAGGCAGGTGGATCTCAGTGAGTTCTAGGCCAGCCTGGTCTACAGCCAAGGCTACACAGAGAAACTCTGTTTCAAAAAGCCAAACCAAACCAAACCAAACCAAAACTGAGTCTCTTCTAGCAGTAATCAATTGCTTCTCATTTAGGGGTGGGACCTCAGCTAGGGGCGGGACCTCAGCTAGGGGCGGGACCTCAGCTAGGGGTGAGAACTCAGCTAGGGGGCGGGACCTCAACTAGGGGCAGGACTTTTAGCCTACTTCCCAATCTGCTGGGGTTTTTGTCTGGCTGGAGTTTGCACAGGTCTTGTGCATACTGTCACAACTGTTGTGAATTCACATGTGCAGCTTTGCTGGGTCTGGAGGACACTGCTCCATAGTGTTGGGGGAAGATGAAGGAACAGTGAAGCACTAGAAAATGAATCTAGCCCAGCTGTGGTGGCGCACACCTTTAATCCCAGCACTCGGGAGGCAGAGGTAGGTGGATCTCTGTGCGTTCGAGGCCAGCCTGGGCTACCAAGTGAGTCCCAGGAAAGGCGCAAAGCTACACAGAGAAACCCTGTCTCGGAAAATCTCAAAAAAAAAAAAAAAAAAAAAAAAAAAAGAAAAGAAAGAAAGAGAGAAAGGAAAGAAAGAAAATGAATCTAAGTTTTGGGGTCTTATAAATCAAAAGCCAGGAGAATTTGAACAAAGGCACTAATCAAAAGAATGAAACATTGTTATAGACCATGGAGACACTAATACACTAGTATTAGACCCCGCTTTCCCTATTTTTTGGGGTATAAACCTAGCCATACCCTCTACATTCTAAGCAGTCTGGGTGTCCAAGGCAAGTGTGGCTAGGCCATCTATGATTGACAGTGAGGGCATCCATTCGTTCCAGTTAGGACTGGACATAAATATAGTTGTATTTACAGGTGCATGGAGAATGTCTGTGCTAAAGGATATTGTTACAAAAAGCAAAGCACTAATACAAAAACAAAACAAACAAACGAACAAAACCCCACCTATAATAAGCTCAACCCTTTGGTGTCAACCTTGAGCATAACTCTGTGAAAATTTTCATCAAATATTTCCTACAGAAGAGTCAGAATCATCATAATTTCCATGGATTGCATGCTATGATTGTTTTTTTCTGAGCAGCAAGTAAACATGAAACGTGACAAGGCCACGTGCTTTCTCTTTCCCCAAGAGAGCTGACAAAGGGGAGTTTGACCAAATATTCTTTGGAGGAGACTGTCATGTAGGAAATCTGGTTATGGGGGATCTGGGTGCTGGAAGGAAGCATCTTTGGGGCCAGCAATCAGCGACCCAGGCAGTGGCTCTGCAGGAGGCAGCTGGTGGCTGGGCCAGGACCCAAGAGCAGCAGCAGGTCCCTGCCAGGGAGCCAGGGGTGATTAGCACGGCTTCTGTTGATATGCTGTCAATCTCTCGGGTCGGCCTGAAATCCTTCTTAAGGAATGAATCGGATTTAAAGAAATGAGCAATAGATAATCAATACCTCCTGCTTAGGGCTGGAGACGAATACAGTCATACCTGGAAGTGAGGGCAAAGAGGTCGCACGGGCTACAGGAACATGGCACAAGAAGAGCCATGGTTGCTGTTGCATTTGTGGAAACAGCACTGATGACTGGGGACTGACTCATCACACCCGGGGCTCTAGCTGCTCCTGGGAGACAATGTAAGACTATTCCTCAGGAGGGGCTTCCAGTCCTCTGGGGCGTCCCACCGGTGAAGGAAAAAAAAAAAACATGACACTAACTTCATGTCACAGTCTATCACATCGACATGTAAGAGCTGAGCACTCACGAGAGAGAAAAAAGCAAATGTTCAAACAGTGCGGTTTTAACCTATGGCATAAGAAAAGGAAAAAGAAAATTTCTCTGGTTTTAGTCACAAGCTTAAGGCTTCATCCAATGGATTTATTATCAGCGGTCTCAGGGTAAAGAACGCCCGTAAAACCACAGTCGATGTCCTCTGGGGATCGTGGGGAGTGGGCTGAGGCTCGTCCTGTGGAGGACGGTGTCACCCGAGGGGCTGCCTGCCAGCCCTAGCTGCCAAGAGCTGGTGTTGATTTCCCACGAGCTGGGAAGCCTCCGGTTCTTTAGATACACAGACTCTGCCCTGGTCACTCTGGGCTCTGGACTGGCTAAACATTAACTGAACTTGGACAACCTTTTTCAGGTTTGGCCATCTCTCTTCTGCTGTATTTTCTTCTCTTGACGTCTCTTCTTTCCCTGCTCTGCACTGATTTTGGTCACATCCTTCTTGCAGAGGATTTTGTGTCTTTCTTGGATCCTCAAGAGTCTATTCAAGGCTACCTGACTCAGTCCTGGGAGGGTCAGAAAGAGGAGCAGGAGGAACAGCCCAGGGCTGCATTCTAGCTGTGTGAAGGGAAGATGGCAGAGACCCCAGGAGGAGAGCACTGAGCAGCGGGAGTCACAGAAGCCACTGGCAACACACGCTGTGAAAGTAGGGTTCTCTCTCTCTCTCTCTCTCTCTCTCTCTCTCTCTCTCTCTCTCTCTCTCTCTCTCTGTGTGTGTGTGTGTGTGTGTGTGTGACAGACAGAGATAGAGACAGAGAGTCACTAGGAACACATGCTCTGAAAGTAGGGTTCTGTGTGTGTGTGTGTGTGTGTGTGTGTGTGTGTGTGACAGAGACAGAGAGACAGAGAGTCACTAGGAACACATGCTCTGAAAGTAGG